TGGAAGCAATCTAAATGCAGGGACAAGGTTAGGGAGACCATGGATATCCATGCAGTGGGATCTTCTGCAGTCATTCACAATCAGAGTTATAAAAAAAGGGGGGGGGGAAATCCTTCTGATCTGATATTGCAAGAGGTGCAGCTCTGTAGGATATACATAGGAAAAAACTGGAAGGGAATCTATAGAAATGCTAATGAGTAGTTGAATTAAAGGAGTGGGATTTAGTGAATTTGTCTCTTCCCCAATTTCCAAATCATCTAGAAGGCTATTGGATCAATTTTACAAACCGAAAAGAATAGATTTTTGGATGGATCTGACCAGGGTGAGTAGGGCCCCTGGTGGCTGGCTCTGGGCCATCCTTATTTAGCACAGTGAAACTTCAAATACCCAGGATGTAGCCAGTCAGGCCCCTTGTATGACTGGAGGGTGTTCTGTCTAACCCATTAAGGGACAAAAGGGCTTGGGCTTTGCAGGTGGTCAGGGCTGGGCTCATTTCTGCTATTCCAGAGATGGCAAGCCCTTTAACCATTGAGACTAAGAAGACACCCTGACCTCTCTGGGTTGCTGTGAAGATTAAACAAGGTGGTGGCTGCATGTAATTATCTCCATCTGTAGCTTCAACAACTCTGGCCCCCACTGCTGCCTCCCAGCAGGGGCTTGGTAGGTGCCGGCTGAGTGACAGGGGGAGGCATCTGGGAACCCCCCCCAGCTGTTCCCTGTCTTTGGCCTCCATCTGCACAGTGTGAGTGGGGCAGCGATACTGATCACAATGCTGCCTGTTAGAATTTGCTGTTAACATGCTCAGCTCCTGTCCAAAAGGTTGCAAGTTTGAGCCCATGTAGAGGCAGATCAACTTCCAAACACTCAGCCACTGAAACCCCTATGGAGCATAGGTCTACTCTGACACATACGGGGTTTCCTTGAGTTGGAGTCAGCACCACAACAGCTGGTTTTTATTGCCTCTCTCCTAAGCATCAAGTTAGATGGGCAATTCCCCTCTACCAGGCCAGCAAAAAGGAAATAACTTGGGGCCCAGTGGCATGCACACTACTGCTGAAAACAACCACGGACCACCTTTAACTGGTGGGAAGCTGTCCTCATCACAGCCATAATAGGTTCTTAACAAAAAACGTAATGGTGGAGAAGAAAGGGCGGGGACTTTGCCATCCGACAGCTGGGTTCAGAGCTGATGCCATCATTTTCTAATGCTGACACCTAATGCTGAGCCTCAGTTTCTCCATCTGTTAAATGGGAAGCCACCTCCTGACTTTCACACTCGCTGTGAAGAAATAAAAGGGCATTTAACGGATGTTCAGTAAACGTTACTCCTCTTTCCTTCCCCAAGTAGAAATCACCCAGGCAACAGTGGATGCTGCTTCTTTGGCAGCGAGAGGTCTGGAACAGCTCTGATTCTCAGCTCTAGGGAATCAAGGGGAAGGAAGGGGTGCTGAGCAACTCATCAGAGGACACGGAGCTGTCTCTCTGGGCAAAGTCAGACTTAAAGTGGAACCCATGGGCACTGTCCCATGGAGGGTGGCAGGGTGTAATGGAGAAAATGTGAAATTAAGCAGAGTGCTGAATCCTGGCCCTGCCACTTTCTAAGTAGATGACCTGGGGTACACGGGGCAATCAATTTCCTGAGCCCAAGTTCCCAGTCTGTGGAAGGAAAACTATTATCAACTTAAGAGGTCCTAGAACACAACAGGCATTCAATCACACTGCCTATCAACTGGCCTCTAACCCATAGCCCCTTCTGCCTGATCCCTCCTAACCCTAACGCTTACCCTAGGAACTCCCCCAGGCATGTCATCAGCCTCACTGTGAATAACAATGAAAGTAGCTGATCCTTCTAGAAAAGAAATATTAACTGAATATTAATCAGCTGTTAACTGCACAACAGAGGACATGATTCCCAGACATCTTTCTGATGTGCTCGTCTAATTGCAATCAAATGGTTTTAAGGGACTAGAGAATCTACTCTGATTCAGGAAGAGAAATGGACCCTGGAAAGTTTCATTTTGGCAAGTGGCAAGTCAACAGAAGACTCAGCATGAGGACTCGCTTTAAAAATCCCCTGTACCTCACACTAGCAGATTTTCAAATGTATTTGCTGAATGAATGGATGCTTGGCTAGATAGACATCAGCTGGAAAGAAGAAGGGCACTTCAATGGATGAATGGGTTGGAGGGCCGATGGCCGAAGGCACAGGGCCTTGAGGAATCCCTGAATGCCAGCCACTGCAGGAGACTGTGGACACCATCTCATCCTTAATCAGAGCCATCTTGCTGTCCACAAGTTAATTACTTAATGTGCTATGTGGAAGTAAGAACTGGAGCAAGTAGTCAGGAGGACTGAATCTCCCTCCTCCACTTCAAGGATCCTGCATCTATTTCTGCCACCCAAATCTGCTGCCCTTTGATATTACTGTTGGAGACAGAAATCCGTGCCTTAAGAAAACCCAGGCAAGATTAAAAGGCCAGGCACTGAGTCCATGTGCCTACCATGGAACCACCCCCAACAAAGGCCCGTTAGGATCTGGCTCCTGCCTGCCAGTTTGTCTCCCAACACAATGCCGACAGATTGGTGGAGCTGGGTTCTGTCCTCCCCAGAACAATATTTTATGAGGAGCCTGTTTTATTAAAATATTTTCCGCTGGATGCTTCCTGTGTTTCAAGACGTTGGTCGTGCCAGCTGGAGCTGATGACAGTTGAGAAAAACACATCCAATGCTGTTGTGACATGGCATTTGGAAGTGGAGGAGCACGGCAGGGGGTGGGAGAGGGCAGCCTGGGAAGACGCAGGAAAGTGCCTGTGTTGCACCAGAAACGTGTGTGGCATCATGGGAGAACAGCATTCCCCTGACATCACTGAGAAAACGTGAAAAGGAAAGAAGCGCTTGGAATGACATCCTGAAACAAACCTCCATCTCCTTGCGGGCCAGAGGCTGTGATGCAGAGTCACAGAGACCCTGCCGTTTATTTTCTAAGCTTGCCAACCCAGCAAACTAACCACTGGGCTCCCGCTAGCTCATTTCAACCCCAAAGGTTTCTCAAACAGAAATAAAAAGAACATGGCACTTTGCAGAAAGAAATTGGAAGTGATTCTGACGGAGTCCAGGCCATAACCAGGATACTGGGATTTTCACACACTGGCTTTCTGGCACACAATAAAGTCATCCCCTAGCACTGGGTCTGAAAAAGCAACAACATACATAAACATGATAAACAAGTTCAACCTCTCATTGGGAACCTGGCTACAGAATAGGTAATGCTTTTCTGTGGAACGTGGAGTCCTGCTTGTCTGCAGTGATTTAGTGCAGTGCAGGAAAATCTTGGCTTTGGATTTCAAAGATCTACAGGCCCATGAGCCTATCTCCCAGTATAGTGTCTAAAGGGTTTGCCCCAGTTTTAAAGAGATGACTTTAAAGAAAAGTGACAAAGTTCAGAGTCACTGTAAAGTTCTCTTTACAGTCACCGTAAGGAGCAATCTTTAGGGTCTGGGGAACGCTGAAGCTGTGCAGCATTTTCTCCACAAGGGGGCAATCATAATCCACGCCAGCCATTGCCAGGGGTTCGCTCCCTTAACATTTCCTCCATCCTATTGTGCAGAGCGGGAGCTCTGGTAACATAGTGGCTAAGGCACTTGACTGCTAACCAGACGGCTGGCGGTTCAAACCCACCAGCCACTCCTCGGAAGGAAGGTTGGGCAATCCTACTTCCGTAGTGATACTGCCTCGGAAACCCAAGGAGGGGTCACTATGAGTCAGGGCTGACTCAATGGCACATAACAACAACAACAACATTGTGCAGAGCAAAAGTTAAACCTACACCCAACTCTAGGCACTCTTCTCTTCCAAATTGCACATAACTATGCACCCCTGACGCACACATACACACACTCCCAGAGCACTTGGGATGGTTTGAGGAGCTGCATGGGTTCTGTAAAGACACACTCTCAAGCAGCACTATAATGGAAAGCAGAGAATTCTGGGAGAGCTGAAGTGTATCACAGCCAGCCCTAGACCACGGCATCACATTTCGGAACTGTTTCTTCCTTTTGGCTCCTTTCCTGGTAGGACCTGCCACCGCCCTTAACTTCTTTCACTGAGAACTTTTTGGAAGATGGAAATGAGGGGCATTCTTCTTTCCTACCCAAGGGACTCCAGGATACTTGGGAGAATTTTTATGATTTCCCCAGTAACCTTGGGCCAGAGTGATTCATGTACTTTGTTAAGGCATTGCTGGAAGCCAGCCTATATGCCTTGGGGTGGAAGAGAAGCACTGCCTTCCTGGGCTGGAAGAAGTGCCACTTTCTCCAAACTGGCCCTGAAGTCAGGCAGCTGTCTGCACCTTTAACCCTTGCCCCATTGAGGTAACTCAGCCTCTGGCCACTGCTTATATGTGTGCCTCCTTCACATACCTCATCTCTCCAACATCTACCCTAAGCTGGGTCCTATGCTCGATATTGGGCACAAAACTCAGTGACTGACCCAGAGTTCCTGGGTCTGAGGGGAGGTAGGAAAGAAAAATGATAATGACTAAGTAAATGCAATGGCACAGGGGAGCACAGGGTACTGGTGGGGGGGACGGTAGATAAGGATGGTCCTGTGTGTAACTCTGAGCTGCAGAGACCTTGGGAACCACCAGGACCAAGAAGGTGGTGACCCTCCTTAAATAGGTTTCCTCCTTGACCAAGTTCTTAACTCTCTCCAGCTGACTCTACATCATTAGCATGAGAAAGGGCTGGGGGACATTCTTGGGAGTCTGTCCAAGTACCTTTGGGATTCACCACTCAAAACCCAGTCCAGGCCTGGTTTTCTGGGTTCTGGGGCCTCCTGCTGGCCTCCTGTTGGTCTAACAACCGGAACCAGTAGAAGCCAACACTGAAGATCAGGCCCTGCTCCCCAGATGCTTCTTCGGGAAATGCCCAGTCTGGGCTCCTGCTTCACAAGGCGCTGGCCCCACAGACAGAAGGGCGGGGAGTAAGGGGGTAGGTACTCACTGCTCAGGGCTCGGGACAGATGTCCTCCGGCCTTCCACTGTGATGTTGCTCTTCGGTCTCTTAACGACATGTGGACGGGGAGGGCGGACCTAGAGTGGAGACAGGGGGAGCCCCCAAGAGGGAATGAATTGGAAAAGCTGCTCAGAAACATCCTGAAGATTTGGATAAGCATCCCTAAAAGGGACCTTTAGCGATTTTCAGGATGCAGGGTACAAAATCCCCTTTCTTATGGCAACATTTCCACCTAATTTGCAGCATAAACTGGAACTCAGAGGCCCACTCAGAAGGAGAGGTGGTCCTGAAGAGCTGGTTTCCTCATCTGCTAGATGGGGGAGTTCCACAGGCTTCTTCACAGGGCTGCTATGAGGACCCAATGAGATAATGTCTATTCAGGGCCCAGAACAAAGCGCCCTCACTAACAAACTCCCCCTGCCTTGCTCTGGGAGCCAGATACAGGTTTTATACAACGAAGAGGTTCCACTCCAATTTTGTTTCTGGAGTTCATTCACATGCTTATTTTGCTCCTTTTACAACTACATTGCAGGATGCCCATTTTCCTATCAAACCGGGGGAGAAAAAAAGCAAATAAAAGCATTAGAGGGTTCCAATAAAAATCATTTTCTGTGTCCCAGGGCATTGGATGTCCAGTACTCCTGAGCAGGGCTCAGCCTGGACACCGCACACCTCACGTGGCCATGTTCAGCAGCACAGCTCCAATACGAGGGTCATATTGGCATATTTGAAAGTGAAATACACAGCTCCCTAACCCCACAGCCTGGGCTGCAGTGACAAGATAGGTTTTTTTTTTCCCTGGCCTGATGCCTCTGAAAGCCAAGATGAGGGCCCAAAGAAGGAGACACCCTTCCTCCCCCCGCCCCTGAGTTGGTAGTGGGGCTTAGGCTAAGAATTTCTAAGGGCGTTAGAAGGATACTCATCTGGTCCAATCAACATTACATGGCTTTGAATTTAGTACTGTCACCTCCAAACAGTTGCAGTGCCAGAGAAGGGCAGGGAAAAGCTGAACCACAAAATTTTATCTGTGAATTCGATCTTCAACAAAAACAATGTAAGCTCCTCAGTGTGGGGGGCTTGCTTTCTCTCTGCAGATAAGGGGCCCAAGGCAGATAGAAAGTGCCACAGTTGCTGGATTTTGTGGACAAGGCAGCATGGAGAGAACACATACACAGTTCATTTCCTATCTGCCTTCATCCCTGAACGGCACCCTCACCCAATTTGTAGAAGACACAGCACAATGGCTTAGGAACACACACTGCAGAAGTTGGCTACGTGAAAGGTCTTCACAGAATCTCATCAAGTCCTCAGGTCTCCGCATGTCTGATCTCAGCCTTCCTTGGCAAATCAGAGATATGGTACAAGCCAAGTGTACTCCACCCCCAAACTCACTGTCTTCTTCTATGAGGTCACTGTGAAGCCTGAATGGGATGATGCAGGGGCTCCATCAATGCCCACCCTGCTTCTCTTTGACCGGGACTTTCCCATCTTATCAATAATGCAAAGAAAACCCTTAGGTGGGTGGGTGGGGTCTCTAAACTAGACGATGATGCCCTTATCCTGATCCACCTCCAAGCACAGTGCCTGGTATACAGTGGCCACATGGTAAGATTTTGAAAAACAAATGAATGTTGCTGCTTGGAATCTGAGAAGACACGATATATGTTACTATTCTTATCATTATTAGAAGAGAGCCTGCCACACAGCGGACATTCAGTCACCATTTGCTGAATAAACGAATACGTGAATGGATATTTCTCCCACCCACTCCAACTCTGAACTGGTTTCCCAGAGCCAGAGCCAGAGCCAGAATCCTCCGGCAGCCTGCTTAACAGGATCACCTGGCTGCCATGGCCCCCAGACATTCGCCACACAAGCGGTGTGCAGGTGGGGCGATGAGACCTTCTGCCCTTGTCCCGGGAGACCCTGGCTGGGGTTTCAGGAAAGGTCAGATATTAGGGCCTGTCAGCTTGTCCCTGCACACGGCTGCTCCTTGCTACAATAAAGGCGGGTTAAGAATGTGAACTTGTGGCTGAAATGGGGGGATTAAGTTTGTGGCAACTTCGACTGAACTTGCAACGTGGTGAAACATGGGGAAAAAGAACAACAGAGCTAATTAGACGAGCTGAGCTGTCAGAGTGCCGCTGAATGGCTCAGCGCCAACAAACAAAAGGAATGGGCTGGCAATCAGCAGGATCGATGGAGGAGACTGCTTCATTAGGGATGATAAAACAGACAGAGCTGGGAGAGGGAGGGGGAGGGAGGGAGGGAGCGGGCAGGAGGGAGGGAGGGAAGACACAGCAGACCCAGAGACAGGCAGGCACCCGCACAGTCACAGACAGACCCAGAGGCACACTCACCTGATTGGTGTGGACAGAGCCACACACAAAATGGCTCTTACAGACAGACAACCATTCAGAGCCACGAACAGAGCCACTGACACATCTACATACACTCTACCTCACAAGTATACATCCACCTCTTTGGAGGTCCAGGTAGGAAACACACACACACACACACACACACACACACACATACACAGCTAGAGCCACAGCCAGGCACTGACACATGCGGTCAAGATGGTTTAATTAAGCCCAAGTCAAAAGATAATGCCGACAACCAGCCCGCCATATTTCAGCCATCACATCCATCTTTCTGGGGTGCTTAGGGAGGGTGGGGGCTAGGGATAAGGGGACAAAAACCACACACAGACAAGAGTGGCTGGCCCCACCAGCTGGAGGATACCAGCAGCGCCCGGGAAAAAAAATGCTAACCAGGGATTTAGAGCTCTGTTCAAGGGGGACTTGAGGGGAAAGTTGGGAAACCAGCCAATTCCCCACTGGATTTAAAACCTGAGAAATCTAAGTCGGCAGGGTTAAATGTGTATTGAATACAAAAGCACCACGCACATTTGATTTTAATGGCGAGCAAGAAATAATAAATACAGAGCTTATAAAGTGGGCCGACTGCAGCCTGGCGCTCCCCCATGTGCCCCAGCCCCAGCCCCTTAGTACACGACACACTGGCAATGGTTTCTTCTGCTCTTTTTCTTTCTTCTAAAAAGAAAATCCCAATGCTCTGCTAACGTCTGAACTTCAGCCACAGGTGCCAGGCTACAAAGCTGCTCCCAGGAAGGTTGAATGGCTGGCCCCCTGATCCCCGCCACCCCAGGCCACATCAGCCCAGGATGCTTGCAGCTAAGGTGGGCTCAATGGGACCCAGGGATGGGACCCCTCCTGGCTCCTGACATGGAAGCTTGCTGGCCTGCCTTCTTTGAGGTCCTTGAGAGGTTCCACATCCACTTTCTCCCAAGTTCATACCAAGTGTGTAGTGGCCTCACTGGCAATGCTTGCATGAGTGTACGTGGAGTGAACAGCCCCTAGGGACCTGGGAATGCAGAAAACACCAACACTCTAGGACTTTCAAACGAGTCCCTTAGTGACTCTGCTTTGCACTTGTTTGGGGGGTATACGTGTGCCCACTTCATACCAGGGACGGCATTAGGCACTATACATACATGACCTCATCACCCTTGTGAGAGGAGAGTTCCTAAACCTATTTTATGGAGATGAAACTAAGGCTCTGAGAAGCTAAGTGTCTTGTCTGACACCGCACAGTCAAGAAATGGCTAAGTTGGGATTCAACCAGGGAAGGCCTCTCTGACTTCCATGCCCAGGAGAGCTGGTCCTAGCAAGCTACCTCTTTAATGTGCCTTAAACCAAGGGAGGTACAGCTCTGAGCACCAGGCTAGTCATTTCCTGGATAAGCTCAGTGGTGGAGGCAGCTGCAACTCAGCGTTTTCTTGTGATACTCTTTGCCATCCCAAGTCATCAAGGGCCAGCAGACGTGGCTGGACACACATCTCAGTCTTCACACGAGTTCCCACACTGGTGAGACAACATGGAGTCCCATTATCTGTCTTCAAGACTCAAATTTATACAAGGAGAGCAAGCCTGCCCTAATCATGCTTTCCAAGAGATTCCCTGCCTATCCCAGATCCTAGGCCTTTCAAGGGAATTCTGAGAGCTCCCCACTGGGTGACTCTTAAGGGGAGGTGGCTTGGTAAGGAGAGAGGAGGGGCAGTGAAGAGAGGCAGGCCTGGGCCCAAAGGCTAGCTTGCTCTCATCACCTCTGTAGTTTTGGCTGCACATTGGGGAAACGGCATTTGATGTTGAGAGCCAATAATGATGGAAGTGCCTAGCACAGTCCCAGGCAAATAAAAGATATTCTTTCCAGCTTGGCAACCCTCCAGGACCTAACACTGACCTACAGACTCTATGGGGAGCCCAGATAGCTGCTGATTAATTTTTTTTTTTTTTTTCTCATTTGAAGATCCTGCCCTGGTCCTTTAGACTAAATCTGTCTCTATTTATGTGAAGATGGAGGTACCAGGAAAGGAGCTCTGGTGTTGCAGCGGGGAAGGCATTCGGCTGTTAACCAAAAGGTTGGTGGTCTCAACCCAAAGCTGCTCTGGAGAGCAAAGATGTGGCAGTCTGCTTCTGTACATATTTACAGCCTTAGAAACCCTATAGGGGCAGTTCCACTTTGTTCTATAGGGTTGCTATGAGCTAGAATTTACTTGATGGTAGTGGGTTTGGCTTGGTTGGAATACCAGGGAGTATAGTATGTTGGAAAGAACATGGGTTCTAGAGTCTGGAGACCCATGTGCCAGCTGAGGGACTTGGGTTAAGTTTCCAAGCATCAGTTTTCTCATCTCTAACATGGGTGATGATGACATCTACTTCCAGGCTAATGTGAGACTCAACTAGGATGATGGGCCTAAAAACGATTTTTCATATGTAAAATCCTACAGAAACGGTAGCTGTTGGTAAACTGGATCATTCCTTAGAAATTGTCATCCTGCTAAGAAGAGTAAGCACTACTACTGCGTGTCAGGCACCGTGCGAGGTACTCTACAAATGTTATCTATGTTCGTTCTCCCAGAAACCCCTCTATGAACGAGGGAATACGACAGAGAGAAGGTAGGCACAGAGAGTGGGATCGCCTGCTGGAAGTCACAGACCCCCAGGGGGAAGTGGAGTCCAGATTCAAGCTTAATCGTGCCCGCTTCCAAAGC